TAGGGGAGCGACCTGAATATGACGTTCACCTGCTGGTTGGTTCGGGGCTTCTCCTCTTTTGTTAATTTCCTGTCTCAGAAATATATTTTAAAATGTTACAACTGTCTGGACTCCGTACATTATGTGTCGTGTAAACCACTCCTAGATATATGGACCATAAAATGTTGGATGACGCCTTTCAATCCACCCAGAAGCTCCGCGTCTCTCCGGTCGTCTTTAAACACCGATCGCCTCAAGGTCAAAGAATCTCTTTAACACCGGGTTTTAAACACCGTCTCACCACAACCTATAATGTATGAAAGTGTTTTTCCTTCATTCTAAGACACAGAAGCAGAAAATGTCCAGCGGCAGGACTGATCCCAGAAGTTCAATTACTATAAATGAGCCTGAAGGAAACCAAATGCAGAGAAACCTGCAGGTAAACATTCGTTTCAAACTTTAATTGTGTTGGGAAAAGATTCAGGGGTCAGTATTTTTACACGAAGCTCTTATTTTATATGTGGAGGAGTTGTAGTTTTCCTTTTAAACTAAGGTCTGTTTGGAGACGGTTAAGCAGAAAACCATCAGTGCAGGTGAGTTTCCTGCCTGCATCACCACCCAAAAAAAAAACAATAAGCACATATTTAATCACTCATAAGTGTTCTTTATTACCTCTTAAAGGAAGCGTTCGTAAACTGTGCTGAATGTCCGTTTCACAGTCGCTCAAGTCCCAAAAGTCCGTGTTGATATCAAGTGGTAACGCGCTAACACAAACACACGAGGCCACACCACTCACTACTCGAACGGATAAAGTCACAGCGCAAAGTGTTTCTGTCTGCAGGGGCGGATCCACCAACGACGAAACGCTCCAGACAGTTTACTAATCTATCATCTATGAAACAGACGCAAGAACAGAAAAACCCACAAACGTCACTGAAAGAACTTAAAACGGACAAAAGTAATTAAAAAAAAGACCAAATAATGAAACGGGCCTTCATAAAAAAAGTGGCACTCCTTGAAAAGACTGAAACTAATCTGACCACAGGGACACGTTGAACTCAGGTGTGTGTCCTGTAACCATCATCTCAGGTGTCTTCACTCAGGCCGACAGGTAGTCACAGGGCTGTGTGGTGTCATGGTGAGTAACACACTGAACATGGACCACAGGAAGCTGAGGACACGGCGTAAAAAGACACCGAAGGCAAAGACTTTAAGACCGTCTCCATCGGCTCTGTTCTGAAGTGTCCTACTGAGCCCCGATCTAAATCCTGTGGAACATCTGGAGAGGGAACCCTTCAAAACCTGAGACAGCTGGAGCAGTTTGATCATGAGGAGTGGACCAGAACACCGGCGGACAGGTGCAGAATTTAACGTCTAGTTCTTAAAAATGTTTCAAAACCAACTGATTTTCACAAGTTTATTTATTTATTTTTCTTTTTATTAGTTTGAGAGAGTTCTGTTATTTCAGTGACCTTTCTGAGTTTTTCTTTCCGTTACAAAAAACAGTACAAACTAATTTCTCTGCGTCTGCATCTCCTATCGCACACTGATACTCTGGACATTAGTAATCAAAATCCTGAGTACCAGTAATCAGATTACAAAGTGCTTCAGTCTTACGGTCATGATTGTTCTGGTTGTTTCTTCACTAAAACACTTTAGCTGTTGAAAGCGATCAGCTGATTGACTAAAAGGAATTACTGAGAGCGAGACACGGCAGAATGAGTTTTAAACTAAAACCAAAACTAGAAACGTTCATTTTGGTGCAGTATCTGTGTACACAAGTTTGTTCCACCACATGTACCACATGCGATGCGACTGTCAATAAAGAACCTTGACCTCGAGTATTTTCTTCCAAAACTTAAAATTTTGAGTTCTGCATCAGCTTAACTAAATATTTATTTACTTAGTTTGATGCTTTAAGGAAACAAAGAACAGAACCTGAACTGGTAACCGGAGCCGAGTGCATTTTACCCACAGTGCCACATGTTCAGGGGGCCCGGGGACAGCCACAGGGGTCCCCACAGGCCCTCCTTCTGTTCCAGAGGAGGCGCAGCTCCTGGGCAGTGTGTTGGGGAGACGACAACATGTCCAGGTAGCACTCCTTCTCACAGAGCCAGCCGGGGTCCTAGAGACAGGAGAGGAGCAGGATGGTGGCCGATTATTTGCCTGTTAGAAATCACCACGGTAAAAAAGTAAACATAGACCTGAGGGTGCTGTACATTTAAAAGTGGCTAATCTGATTTTTTATTTTATTTTATGCCAGTCTGAACATGACAAATAGAATTTTATTATAGCAGTTTGAACGTGACAAATATGAATTTTATTATGGCAGACTGAACGTGACAAAAGTTATTTTTTTATGGCAGTCTGAACGTGACAAA